TAAGATGTTGTGTTGATGGGTCACAGCATGTTCCACAATGGCAGAATTTTTCTCACATTCTGCCTTTACAGCCTTAGGGTCTTTCGTCTGTCTCCGACCTCTGCCGACTCTCCGACTATATATATATTCCAGGGATCAATGATGACTGATGAAAATCTGTTAAGAATTAAACCAATTCATTCGAAAAGATAGGCAGAGCAGCGCAGACAGGCAGAAGAGTAGCCATATGCTGAAAATAAACGCCTTTCTTGATCAAGATCGGAACCCATGAAATTGAAATGAAATCCATAATATGCCGGTTGCTATATATCCAGTTTTAGGGATACAGGAAAAAAATTATCTCGCATTGCTCTATATTCGCTCTCGCGACCACCTCTCTATCAATAAATTAAATTTCACTACCGTCGCGACCGTAAAGAGTCATGCATTTTTTTCACGTATCGTTATGCACTGTCAAAAATATACACATATACACAATATATAAATACATATATAACCCATTATGTCTCCTGGTTTTATCTGCCGATCATTTTTCGTCAAGTAACCAACGTGAAGAATCGAATGAACTAAGTTCTAAACTGACAATAATCCACACTGTTGACTCTATTTTCCTTTTGAACCATGGCAACACATACACAATGCAATCTTTGCAATTGCCGTTTGTTCATTATAAGACTGCAGCATCTCGTTAGGTAGTTAGCTATCAATTTTTTAAATAAAATCTAACATGACAGTAAACATGACCGACTGAAAAATAACGACCACAAGGCTACTGTTGCTGAACAATATCAGTTTGTTCAGAGTTCGACAGTGATATGCTTCCGTTATATCAGGTTTAGTTAATAAGCAGTTAACTAAATGCAGCAATTAAAAATATACAGCAATTCCAAGCACAAAACTGGGTCTTCAGCCAAGCTGTACTTCATATGTTGCCATTCTAAATGCAGGCAAAACTGACAGAGAACAAAAGTTCTTAAAGCTGTGCAGAGTGCAACCAAGTAAGGAATGCCTCGAGTTATGGATAAGAATACATATGAACACCAAACCAAGGTTGCTGGCATGATCGATAGAGCAAAGGAAGAAGCATGACAGCAGTTGAAATATGAGGGTGCTTTGACAAGCTATAAGAACAAGAAAAAAAAAGAAAACCAACGGAGTACTGCAAACGCAAAATAGTTACCTTGAAAGCAAATCATTTAGAAGCAGAAGTAGCAGCAATCTTGGAAAAGCCTTAATGTAACGATAGATCGAGACAGGTTGACTATGACGATGACCATACTTTCAGAATGACAAGGAACATGAGGAAATATGTGTGTGTGAGTGCTAAGACACAACGAAATATTTCAGAGTTTACCTTCAATTCCTTAGGCTGTTGCTTGGCCTGGAGCGTGTGCCGTTTGCGAAGCTCGTCTTGCAGACGCTTTGTATACTCTTGCTGGTTTTGTAGTTCAATCGCATGCTGCTGCTGCAAGTGTTGAACTCGCAAATTCTGCGCTAATTGCAACAGCCTTGTCTCCAGCTCTTGAGTTTGCTCGTGGTGTTTTCGAAGCAGGTTATGCGCAGATTTCAGCTGACGACAACGAACTCCAAGATCCTAAAGCCAATCACGGATAAGACACCGGACAGTTACTTTCAGCGAACGTTTGGAATCCATTCAATGTTACTTTAAACGTTACATTTTTCTGTACTAAAGAAGAAAGTCTTGAAAGACGTAGGCGCCTGGAAATACTGCCACCGCAATGCCGTATAACAACTACCTTATCTAACGACAACTGTAATCTTACACGCTGCAGACGTTCGAGGGAGGATTCCAAACTTCTCTTGACATGAATTTTTTGGTGGAATGAAAAAAAAACAACTTTAATGCAAACGTTTTGCTTAAGTTAAGAATCACAGATGAAATAGGTTTTATTGTAATTAATCGTTATCTTAATTAATAATGTTGTATACGATAGTATGTATGCAGAATATTCACACTGACTCTATGACAGAATACAATAAAGGAGACAACAGAGCGGACTAAAATCGGTAAACCTCAGCGTTACCATTGCTCAACGAAGTAGTGGCGAAAATATGAGGGGATCTCACTGGTAAAATCTTCAAAAGCATTAACAGGTTTAACAGCATGGGCTCTGAATGCAAACTCAATCAATTTCACTGAATAAAGTTTTCCACTCAACTATCATTCTAACTTTAACACCAATTTTCTAGGATAATCTTCAAGCGAATTGAGTATCCTTTATCCTAGAGATAAAATCTAACGCTAGGTTGCCCAGAACAACAAAGCGTTCACAATCACACATATACGCATGTACAATACTTCGAAAGATATACAGTACAGCCGAAACCAGTGGAAAGATCATAAATTCGAATGCCTGATGGGTTGCCACTTTTGGTCACTTTTGTCCATCGTGAGGTAGATGTGTATCGCAATATGATAACGAATAAGAAGACTACATTATGTGTTTTCAACACATAATTGTAGATAATACCGTTCAAAATCGAAGTATTTGTGACTGATGCCATCTAAATAAAGAACAACATTGCACAAAACAAATAACTCATATAAACGTATGGTAGTTCTGAATACGGAAAAACTATTTTTCACTTTTAAAGTAGTACTAGAAGAAATTTTGGGTTTTTTATTTTAATAAAATCTTGTCGTAATCCATCTGCTGTCTTAGGAGAAATAGAATTCAGATTAAAAAAAGTTCTGCTTTACTAGAAGATTGGAACACCTTCAGCCTGCCAACCTGAATATCACAAAAAAATTCCCTGTTTCTCACACCCTCATCTTTAAATCTCAAAGCGCTAAAGAATCGAAGCCAAACCACATCAAAGATACTTCGTGCAGAAGATTTTGCTCGAGTTGATGATACTGCAGCAGGCGTCGTCGTTTGAACCTGCGAAGCTCGAAGTCCAGATGCGCCTGGTGATCTTTGCTCATGTGTTGTTCGGCTTCGGCAATGATTTGCTGCTGGTTCTGTTTCTTGGCGCTCAAGCTGTTCTCCACGACGTTCTTCGCACTTTTGTTTTGCTTCAATTCCTGAAAAAGCACATTTTCGCACGCCATCATCGGCTGACAACAATTTTCTTTTGACTACCTGTTTTAATCTTTCCATGTTCACTTTGTATTCGTTCTTCATTTGAGTGTGAAGTGCTCGTTTCTCCGTTTCCTGTTGATGCAGAATCTGTTTCCGCAACTTTTTCTCCCAATCGTCATTTGTCTTCACCTTAAAAATTATGCTCTACCTGCACTTCATTCAAAACAATAATAATATAAAAGCAGAAGCACCAGACAAGTTTCGCTCAATATAATATCTGCCTAGACTCATCATCAGGCACTACAAATGCATAACAAACAGAGAAGCAACAATTAGCAACAGTGTCTATACTGTAGACTGCAAGGACTGTTTAAATGAATTTTAAAGGACATATTACTGCTTGTGAAGAAATGAAACATCATAGCTGAATTCGCAACAGCTAGGCATTGACATCTCTTTGGCACACAGTAATGAATATATTGATAACATTTATCCGAATTAGCATTATCACCAGCTACTCGGTATCTGTACGGTAATAATCACAATTTTACGATGAATGATACCCGCATTAACGCCGTACACTACACCACATAAGGCTGATGATAAGACACACTTACAATGCATATAGCAACGTCTCAGTTCCATCAAAATTTATCAACAGAATTAATAACTTCGTTGCTTCATTCAGAAACCTCTTGAGAAGTGATAATGAGCACTCTACTGTGAATGAAAACGGAGCATTTACATCGATTCATCTGATCACGGATAGATATTAACGGAAAATTTCTGAAATATAGAAGTATGAACGTTTATAAGAAGCTAATAACCTTCGGAAAACAGACCTATTTTGAAGCAGCATTGCATACCGCTGAACCTTAAATCTAACTGGAACGAAAAAAGGATCAAAACAACATCAACAAATTTCCTTAGAGCAAATGCTTCTTCAAAATTCAGTAAGTGTTAATACCCAAGTAGATGAGAACAGGTAATGCTGAACAAAATTCTGCTGCACGATGGTCTGGGAAAACTACTGCAAAGAGTGACCATTTCGGTTCCTTTCATCAACTAGTAAAAAACAAAGGACATTGTATTCAAAAAGCTGCCGGTGTGCAACGGAAACACTAAACTGAAGGCATACATGTTGCAGCCCAAAAACCCAATCAACATAAACTTGTTCGAACAGAGAATGTGACTTTCCACCTAGATCTCAGCGGGATATACATATAAACTCCGCCATTGCACGTCCCAAGCCCGGATGAGAAACGAGGAGGGCTGGAGACCGTGGCAAGTCTCCGAAAAATTCAGCCACCTGCCACTCATGATATTGACGCCTTCGAAAATTATACCGGCTCGGTCGTCGCCCGGGCTACAAAGGGCCGCGCCGGCTGTTGGGGGACTGAGGCAGACTACGAAAAGTCGGCGATCAGAACCTGCTCATTGCAATCTGAATACCGGGTGCGTGGCAGCACAACGACGGCTGACGAAGACCGACGCAACGATGACGAAGATACCAGTCAGCAACGGAGT